CACACTCTTATCCCACTACCAAGCCTCCTTATCTCTCTGACCACGACCTTTGGATTCTCTCAAAATTGCTTTAGCTACTATACGAACCCTTGTAACTATTTCTTCCCACATCATGTTTGCATTTCCCTACAACTCCCAATCCCTTCCTCCAAAAGGGTCATTTTGAATAACTCCCGCTTCTTACCATTTAACTGCCACCACTTAACCATGGGTTTTACTACTTGATGACACTTTTGTCTGATACTCTTAAAATGTACATCAAGGATAAGTACTCTATGTTGAGCAGTCACCCATCTCTCGGAATCACTTACAATTAGTACACAATCTTCTGTCTGGATTCTTAACCAAAAAGAAATCAATCTATGATTTTGAGGTACCATTCTTGTACGTAATTAAATGCTCCTCTCGCTTCTTAAAACAAGTGTTGACAATCTTGAGATTGTCTGCAAGAGAAAAGTCAAGAATAGATTGCCTCCATTATTAGCTCCCCAAAACTAAAACCACCACGAGCTCCATTGAATTGTCTTGCTTCCTTGCTCACATGTCCCTTAAGATCCCTACCAATAAATTTTTTTTCTTCGAGTGGTATGCTTTGAACCAACCCCTCCATATCTTCCCAAAACTATGCACACACATACATGCTAAATATATAGCAAAATATATATTTCTGGCCTCTATTTAGGAAGTGTTGGATAATAGGTAAAGTTCTTTTTCTGTGTACTGATCGAAGAAGCAATGGTCATTGCTGATGTGATACTCTAGATACTGGATATGTGGCCACTAGTGAATAAAGGTTAAGATTTGAAATGATCACATACAACTACATCTTTCTGAGATTCAGCCTATATCCTATCTCTATTTTTTTCATAATTTTCAGAACCTAAACCTCTAATATGCCTCTTTCTGAGTATGTTATTTCGCGCGCGCGCACCCCTCAGCTATAGGCCCATAATTGGGGCCTCTAATTTGCCTCTCTCTTATGCCTTTTGCAATTTCATACGTTCCAAAAAAATTTCTTGTTTCTTTTGATTATTAGATTCTATATAAAATGACAAAATGAGTGACATTTTGATATCTCATGGTAAGAAATAATGTAATTTTGAATTTTGAATTATTTTTTCTAAGGAAAAAAAACACTAAAGTCATGAGGTTCTGATTTTTCTTTTTAAATCATGAAAAATTAAAAACTGCATCATTTTATGCTTATATGATATCAGAATGTGATTCATTTTATGTAGAATTTAATAATCGAAAGAAACAAGAAAAAAAAGTTTGGAGTATTACAGTGGGCATTAGAGAGAATTAATAAAAGGCATATTAAAGGCTCCAAGATCGACTACGCCCTTTCAACTGACTTATATGCATATATTTGGTTAGTTTTAAAAAAAATCATCATTCAAAATCATGTTTATCTAGCTGCAACACACAAACGGGTCTGAAAACAATACTCCCTTTGAGATACACACACACACACACTTAACCCTTTGATATATATGTATATATAGATATATATATCTGTGTGCGCGTGCGCGAGTTTTGTTTGTTTCTTCTTCTTTTTTTTAAACGAAAAGCCCATTTAACATTAATCAACACAAGTACAGTAGGTAAACCTAGTAAGCTTGATTTAATTTGGATATCTTCCAAAACGTAACTAATAAGGTAGCAAGGAACCATGCTCATCCAATATGCAATATCTTAATGTACGAGTATTTTTGAAGTTTAAGCTAAATTACAAGGAACTTTGCAAGTTTGACATCCGGAGATAGGGTTCAATGTTGGAAATCCACCCCATTAATTAAGGTTTTGATTTGATTCTAAATATAAAACTTTAATCCACTTTTGTCTCATAAATTTGTAATTTTTCTTATGAAATATCCTCATTGAGCATAAGAGCTTCTCCCAAAGGATATTTTCAATATACATAATTAAGGAGGGCAGTTTAAAGAAATTAACACACATTTGTCATACTTAACCAATTTAACTAATTTCTTTGATCTCTCCAAATCATTTTTATAGATCTTATATTAAAGACCAAAGGTAATATGTAAATTTGAATCTGTGGTTTCACAGTTGGGGAGTGTTGTAGGAGAAACACAATAAACCAGTACTCATATATGTTATGCGATACATCCAGTTCAATTGCATAGCATTGATGAGCTGATGATGATGAGATTGTGTTATAAGACTAAACGGTATCTTTGTTCAGACTCTGTAGGGTTGGTGCATTTAGTTGCTTTAATTAGACATTGCCATGGAAATTACATGGGAAGGAGAAGATCTTCTCCCTGCATCACAATTGGGGGAAAAAAAAAACAACTTATTATCAGTTAATAATTCGTTAGTAATTAGTGATAGAATTTCAATTTCGTTATTAATTGAGAAAAATGAAGGACAAACTTCCATACACGACACAACGAATCTACAGATAAAATACAATAACCAAGATCGGTTAGATCATTATGGTTAGTGATCCAGAAAAGTGATCCAGAAATGTATTGATGGAGGCTCCAATCAGAATGAACATGGATTTTAAGACCTAGTAGAGTATTAAGCCAACAAGAATTCGGAAAAAGGTAGCAGAGAAAAAGCTGTTTGTAAAAATGAATAGACTTTTTATAAGTCAATGAAATTATGAGAAAAAAACTTGAATCACTAATTAAAAAAACAAAAATACTAATTGGAAAACCACCGACACACTTCCATATGACAAGCCTGAAGCAGATGTCAATTGGCAATCTCTATAAATGGTCAAATGAAGAACACGTTAATTAGTCAGACCGCACCTTTTCCTAATCCTATCGTGTACGGATGCACACACCAGCCAAGGAAAATCAAAAACAATTTTGCGTTAATTTTTCAATATATTCCTTCCCGTCTTATATATAAACTTCAAATAACCAAATTGAGGTTAACAAACAAACAGTTAAAATTAACTAACAATAATAAATAGGTAAGAAATGTATTTTTTTTAAATATGCCCTTATTTATTATGAGAGTAAGTGAGAGGGACAATAAGTAAGTAAATTATGAGAGAGAATATATGAGGTATTATATGCCAGTGAGAGAGGGAATGAATTATTAAAATAATTGGAGGAAAATCAAGTTAGCCACCTTTCTAATTAATGTTATTCATAGCCATTGGACGAAAATAAAACACTAAATACGATCAAATAAAGAAAAAAATTGAAAAGAAAAGTATTAAATATTCGGACAAAACTCAAAACAAAATTTGTAAATTGGACTGGTTTCTTTTCGAAAGTGAACTTATATAGAGGACTGGAGGGAGTATATACTAATAGGAGATGCTCTCTCCAATCCCAAATGTAAAATCTGGTTGTGAAGCATATTTTGATCATATCTTAATGTTTCCTAAATTTATAAATTTTTTAATTATTCTTAATAATTTTGATTCCCATATTGAGAGATAGTTTCAAAGTAAATAATTAAATAGGGTATTATACAAAAACCACTGCATATTTTTTATAATTAATTAATTATTAAAAATAAATCATCTAATTTTTATATTTAGGTTATTGCACAAAGTGTTTGTGTAGAATGTGACCCAAAACTCATCAAGTCTACACTGTTCATATCTAATTTGGACGGTTCGGATTTCATTTTTTTTTATTTTTTTTTTTAAAAATAATTATTTTGATGAGTATAAAATCTAAAATAAAAATGATATCTTAACTATCATTTTTTAAAAATATAATTTTATTTTAATTTCGACTATTTAAATTAGATGTGGGATGTGAAGAGGCGGTCGATGTGTGTACTTTCTAGCTGGAATGGTCCCCTGTGGAACCTTTACGTAATCATCTTCACGTCTTGGGAACCGCGATCTGAGTCTCTTTTATTGTACTCCCTTCGTTTCTTATTATAAGACACATTTGATGCTTATGACATGTTTCCATATATAAGAGTCACTTAAAAGTTGTCTCTATTTTTTTGTATTGATTTTCTATTTTACCCCTATTTATTTTGTCTTCAACTCATACTCTCTTCCTTTCCCACTTCTCTTTCTTTTAATAATTTAATTGTTCTCTCTTATACTCTCTCCTTATTAATGGAGGCATTGTTGGAAAAAACATTATACTTTTTGCACATTAATTGTCCTCAACTAATTTTAATTGTTTTTTTATCAATATAATTTGGTTATTTGTCTCTTATAATAAGGAATAGAGGGAGTATTAAGTTGAAATCTGTATCTACCAAATTAAGAAACCTTGAAAGAAAATGATCGCCACTTATATTTGCAATGCAATATTTTTTTTCCTCTAAAAAAATAAGTTGGAACCAAGTGGTGCATGTATGTCCGAAGGATACAATCCATATTGATGCTGTACAAATATTAATTAAAGTATTATATTATATTTCATATGGTTGGTGGATAATTTGCTGATTATTTTATAATTTCTCCTCTAACCTCTTTTATTGACATATTCTTAATCACCTATTATTCAAAATAAATAAATAAATCTATTCACTCCCAGCTAGTAAGCATTATCCATATGCATTGACCAATCTGCCAAAACTATCATATTTATAAAATTTTCTTATGCAAGGATATATAACTAGTATTTCTAATAAATGCGTGAAGATATTTTAGAGTGACACATATAATGATTCATTTAAAATAACTTCAGCACTAAAAGAAGTTAAATATACATAATAGTAAATTGATGTGTGCCTGTTTTTTAAGAATTTTTTTAATAAAAAAAATTACACACACGGGAATTATTGAAGGAAAGGCAAGAAAATGCAAAAGAGATATTCAGTTATCCACATGCATGCAACCAGATCTAGCGATGGAGTTCATGACACCTACCAACTAGCCTTGACTTTACGTTTTAATATTATCTTATTTATTAAATGAATTTATTGTTCGTAATAAAATATATTGGACTCACAACACCTTAGTACCTACTACTTTCCCCAGTTCTACTATAAATTGGGGCACATAATCTGTGATTTGCATCAACACAAGTTTGAGTTCAACAATGTTCTCTAGAAACTTGCTATGCCTCCTTTCAGGAGTGGTGTTTCTCACCACTTCTACCTTTGCAGATTATTATCAACCTCCTAATTCTAAGCCTCCAGTAGAAAAACCACATGTTTATAAGCCTCCTACTAAGAAGTCACCCACTTATAAACCTCCCATTGAAAAACCACCTGTTTATAAGCCGCCAGTTGAAAAGTCACCTATTTATAAGCCTCCAATTGAGAAACCTCCTATTCATAAGCCACCAGTTGAGAAGCCACCTGTGTACAAACCACCAATTGAGAAGCCACCTGTGCACAAGCCCCCAATAGAGAAACCTCCTGTTTACAAGCCACCAGTTGAGAAACCACCTGTGTATAAGCCACCAACTGAGAAACCACCTATCTACAAACCACCAGTTCACAAGCCTCCAGTTAAGAAACCTCCTCTGTATAAGCCCTCAGTTGATAAACCTCCTATTTACAAGCCACCAGTTGAGAAACCACCTGTGCACAAGCCACCAGCTGAGAAACCACTGGTCTACAAACCACCAGTTAACAAGCTCCCAGTTGAGAAACCTCCTGTTTATAAGGGCCCAGTGGAGAAACCTCCTGTTTACAAGCCACCAATTGAGAAACCACCCATGTACAAGCCACCAACTCAGAGACCACCTGTCTACAAACCACCAGTTAACAAGCCTCCAATTGAGAAACCTCCTCTGTATAAGCCCCCAGTTGAGAAACCTTCAGTGTACAAGCCCCCAATGGAAAAACCACATGTTTACAAACCACTACTTGAGAAACCACCAGTTAAAAAGCCCCCAGTTGAGAAGCCTCCAGTTTACAAGCCTCCGGTGAAAAAACCACCTGTTTACAAGACACCAATTGAGAAACCACCTGTGCATAAGCTGCCGATTGCAAAACCACCTGTGTACAAACCCCCAGCTGAGAAGCCTCCTATTTATAAGCCACCGTTTTATGGTCACTAGTCTCCAACTACGAAGCACGAACTACATATCTTGCCATCTTAATCATATTTTGGTATTCTGAAAATAAGATAGCATGTGACCTCTACAGCTTGCCATCAAGTGTTCTATAGTATTTTACCATATTTTACATTGGCGTTGTTGTTAAGTATGTATAATGAAATTGTAATATTTATCATTAATTAATAAAATTGTCTGTTTTACCCCACTTCCACTCATTTTTAATTATCCGTATATGTTGTTAGCTATAATTCATTACCATTCTCATTTAGATATATATATATATATATCAATGTATTACGGTGGATGATTAAAGGTGCCTAAGAAAAACGAGTTCTAAGATTATCTCTCCCTCCAAATCTAAGGCATATTGTGAAGTATTGATATTTTAAGGAAGTAGTAGGAGGTAAAGAAGATAAACATGCTCAAGTGAATATAAGCGGGGTCTGCATAATAGCAGAGTGTGTATCCGACGCAATAACTTTTCTGAGAATGTGCTCTACACCCTTAGAGGCTGCTCAGAGATTAAAATGCTGTGGGAGTAAATTATTGAGAAGAAATTTTATCAACATTTCTTTACAGCACCTATACAAGACTGGTTTCGACTTAATCTGAAGTTTAATGATAAACCTATGTTTTTGCATGCATTTTCATATATATTTTTGGTAGGTTTTTGTCATTATTATTAGTCTTTAATTGCATCATTTGAGTATAATTCAAATTAGAGTGCTTTAACTTGAATTAGTGCATAATAGGGGTAAATTTGTCATAATTATGATTAATTAATTTTTAAGGACAATTAATGTTACCTTATTCTTGAATTTTGGTTCAGGTTTTTGGTAGATTTAAAAATAAAATAAAAAAAGGAGAAGAAAAAAATTATAATAATAATAATAAAAAAATAGTTAAAAGGGGGAGCAAAACACTACGTTTTGCTTCGTGTAACACCTTATATTCATACCAAATAACCTATCTTGTGAAAGCATTTGGAATCACTTTTGAAGACTACAAGTTATGAAAAATCACGTTTGTAACTTCATATGACCCTTAAGTATGAGGAAATGCTTAAAAATTTGAAACTTTAAAAATTCATAACTAATTGTAAAAAAATCAAAATTGAGTGATTCCAAGTTCTATAGAAATCTCTTTGGATAAACTTTTGAGAAAAAATAGTTTCTGGACTGATTGCCTTGAAATTCAAGCCCAATTTTCTTTGAAAAAATTACTGTTCATTTGGTCATTTTCTGATTTTTACCTTATTTTTGCTTAACTTTGGAAAGGCATAACTTTTTGCTCGGTTATCGGAATCAGAGGAACTACCCCTCATTTTAAAGAGAAAAATAAGATCTCTTTGCTTGCCAAATTTCAAAACTTAAATCACTCGTTTGTTCAAATAGTCATTGGTCAAACTTTAATCCCTTTTAGTTGACTTTTTACCCCTTTTCGAAGGGTAACTTAACTTAATTGACCACTTAACATCATAGCATACTATCCTTAGCTATATTAGGTATTTCTTATCATGCTTGGACTATTCTACTCATACTTGTATACCTCTAGCGTTAATCATACTATTGGAAACTTAAAGCATGGTTCATATTACATTCCTCCAAAATAGAAAGGTTCAAAGCCATATAAAATTACTATGGCTTACTTCTCTTCAAGTAAGAGCCAACTCCTTTCCTTTGTCCTTGGATGTTGAAGGCCCTAGGGTTTGTTTAAATATTGGGGTAAGATTCTTGGGGAATCTTAGTAGCAATTGCATACATTATCAAGGTCACACAATACATTGTAAATCAAGCTACATGCATGCATACTTTAACTTTATGTTCATGCTATGGCAAGGACATATCATCATAAACATTCATGGCACTCAACATAGCATAAGCCAATGCATAATTTGCATGGAGGCAACATCATATAACATAACATTCTCATCCACCTCATAGCATAACAGGTTAGCAAAACACATAGCCATAATCATACAAAGTAAGGTGACACTCTAATATAATGAATTGCAAAAGCTACCTTGAATGATTTCCTTCCTTTTGAACTCTTTTCTCTTGACTATATCTTTGCCCTTTTGTTGTGTATAGCCTATTAGGCAACCAATGACACAATATTAAGTATCATTGCAACTTCACAGCTTAACATAACCCCTTAAACTCCTTTTTCTTGATTTTTAGGGTTTATTTTTCTAGCTTTGATTCTTGAACTTTCTTGGGCTTTTCCTACATAAATTTTCATGTAGAATCCATTTATCATATTAGTTTTATGAAAATCCAATCCCTTCCCTTTGAACTTGACTTGGCCGAACCATATATATAATTATAGGGAAAAGGATTTTCAATAAAACTAACATGTAATCACCTAATCCTTAACCTTTAACCATTCTTAATCTTAATCATACTTCATCTAAACCATTCCCTATCATTTTGATAAAATTTGGGCAGCACTTCCTCTCAGGAAAATGACTTCCCATGATCATTAAAATAGCCTAAAACTAACATACCATCATTATAACTTGAAATAGAAGAGTTGTAGAAGCTTACCTTGCTTCCAAATAACTTTCTCTCACTGGAATTCTTCTCTTTCTGTCTCTACATGAAAATTTGCAAGAGGTTTTCTACTTGAAAGGCCTTGCATGAAATGAACATGTGGGGGTATTTATGGGCTTCATATTTCACTAATTCTACATATGCCCTTCTTGCATAAGACTTAATCTTAGCCCTCCAATTTTTACCTCTTTCCACATGTACAAACCTTAGGCTATGTAGCTTAGTATGTTGACACTTGCATGATGAGTCATTAGGGCTTATGTCATCTCTTCTTATCCATTAAGATTAACTAGGCTTTAATCAAGGTTAACTCTCTTAATTCCTTGATTAACTTAGCTAATTACCCTTCTAGAAACTTTTGACTTTTCAAAGTTAGATGGTTAAATCCTAGCCATCCAATGAACTATGTTTGCCATGTGTCAAGATCTTATGGAAGATGGCTTAAACCTTAATCATCTTACTTATCCCTAATTAGATTTTAATCTAATTTTATTTATTATTTTCTTTTTCTTTTTCTTTTTATTTTCTTTTTCCCTTTCTTGGCCAATTTGGGCATGACATGTGTCCTTGGCAATTTGTAGGAAATTTTATCACCCCTGTTGTCTTGACAGTCCACTGAGTCTTAATATAGTGCTGGTTTATTTTATTTGATAATCGAAAAATTTTAGTATCTCAAAATTCTTATATCAACTCACCATTAATTATATCTCAGTAAAGGGAACTTCCCTAATTAAGTTCATAATTTTTCTCCCTCTGTAACTCCTTAAATTACCGTTTCTGTAAAAACAGATAATCTACCGATATTAATTTAGCTCTAAATTCAATTAAAGCTAACCTCCTCATTATTTAGGATTGGAATTAACTTTATAAATTTCCATAATTCCTAAATGAATTTTCTTTAAATTTTCATAATTTTCTGAGATCTTTAGATATTTTTAATAATTAATATTGTCTAATTTTCCTTAATTTAGCCAAAATATTAAGAATTAAAATAATTTTTAATAAATTATTTTCAACCTGTATTTACTTTCTAAACCTCAAATACCATTTTACAGTATTAATTTTATTTTCCATGATTTACTGAAAATTTTTAGGATTTCTGAACACTAATTACGATAATACCCTTTATAGACCAATTATTTTAAAAATGACAATTTAGTCCTTTTTCAGTTCTCACTTCAATTGTTGTGCTGTTCATCTATCGTCTATATCACCTGGCCTTGGTCAACCCTAAATCTTTCATTAATCATGCTAAAGATATCAGGATATGACATATTTCCCTATTTCTAGGTTGGAAACTTTTGGATGTCACACTCCGACCCTAAAATTTCTGTTGAATCATCATCGTCTTTAGCGAGAAGGGACCAAAGGGCGACGACGAGAAAAAAAGAAAGAAGACTAAAGTGCTGTGAGACCGAGAGTAAGGGACCAAGGGAACTCAACAGTGAGAGCTCGACCTTGAGTCATTCTCTCCAACTACCATCGTCATTGTCTTTGCTGAGTTTTTCTAGTGGCAAAGAAAGGACAGTGTTCTGGAGGCAAGGAGAGATGAGGAGAGAGACCGAGAATGAGGGTTGACGGAACAAGAACGAAGGACCAGACCTCGATTGAAATCACACCTCCATCCCTCTATTTTCTTCATTCCCATCAATCCAAATCATCATCTTCTACTTCCATTTGAATCTATCATCACCATCAACTTCATCTTCTCCTTTTCTTTGGTGTGGAGGCAAAGTAACCAGAGAATCAACGACGACGAGAGAACAGAGCAGAGTCTTTGAGCTTTCTCCATTTCCTTCTCGATGTTCTTCTATGGCAGCCTATAGCAGAATATTGATTATAGCAATTTTGATGGCAAACAGTGGCTAGCACTCTGTAATTCTCCAATTCAACAGCAATAGCCAGAGCTTGGATCTTTATAGGGGAGTTTTAGTTACTTTAATTTCCTATCCAATAGTTGCTTAACAATTCTTAAGTCTTAGGATAGTTTTTCTGATTATTGAAAAATTTGTATTGTTTAATCTGATCATATTTTGAGATTATTATGGCTGGATTACTGTTTAGCATTTAACATTGGGCTATTTATAGCTTTAATTTCAATTATAATGTTGTGGTTATGACATTTGCATTGACTTTGGAGTTAATATATTGTGATTTTCTGAGGTAGCTTGGAATCTTGGATCATATTGTCTCTTGTTAGCTTTAATTTTGTTGTTTTGTATTTAAGAGTTACAATTAGGCATTGGTTTTTGGCATCTTTAATTCCATTTTGCTATTCTGGTTACAGTTAATAAGTTGGGATTTTGAAAAATATTTTGTGGCAATTCAAGGTGGCTCGGTTATTAGATTAAAAGCTTAATTATAACTCTTAATTCATTGTTTTAACTCCTGCATCTATTGAAGTGAGGATTGCCTGTGTTGTTGAGTTGGAGGATTGATTATTATTAT